CTTCACTCTTTATGAGCTGATGAGATGAGGGAGATGATTGTAGCAGACTTGTGGGACCCTGGATCTGATAACAGTTGGCTTCTGAGTTCCTGGACAGAGAGAGATTGTCATGGCAGAGGTACACACTGGTATTTGACGTCTCATCCATGTTCAATAGTGTGGAGAAAAATTAGATTTATACAGTTTTTGTTTCTCTGAATTTTTACTTGATGTCTTCAAGTCCCAGCCACACACAACTGAAGTAGAAAGTAAAAGCAGAGATGAGCAGGGCCTCCTTCCTGCAGGGAGAGTCACATATAACACAGTGTGTCAAAAGTGCTTAATCAGAGCTGTAAAAACTCCAGTCACCTCCCGATGCCGGTGTCCACAGCAGCCCCGCACCCTCCAGGACTCTGACAGCACCTGTTTCCGTGAACATTCATTTTATGTGCTGTGTGTATTTTCTCGGGAATCTTCATGCTCTAAGGTTTCACCTTCAATAATCTGAGGAGCAGTTAACCTTAGACGGCTCAGAGACACCATGACACCCAGCGCTCCATCCCGCAGCACAGGGCTGGGGATTCCCCTGTCCCCAGTTTCACTTCTCCAGCTCCTAACCTGGGTCGGGTCCTTCTGCCCGGACACTGATGACAACTCGGCGGTTCTCACCCTCATTGGGTGACGGGATTCCGGGGAACCAACCAGCGTCGCCGCGGTCACCGGTTCTAAAGTCCACGCAGACTGCGGAACTCAGAGTCGCCCCGGATCCGAGATGGTGGCGATGGCCCCACACACGCTGCTCCTGCTAATGGCGGCCGCCCTGGCCCCGACCCTGACCCGCGCGGGTGAGTGCGGGGTCGGGAGGGAAACGGGCTCTGCGGGGAGGGCGGGGGCGGCACCGGGGAAGCCGCGTCCCCGCGTGGCCCAGCCGGACCCTCCCGCCCCTTCTCCACCCGCGTCCCGAGCCCCGCGCCCTGCTCCCCTCCCGGCCCGCGCTCCTGCCCGGCGTCCCGGGAGCAGGGTCGGGGTCTCACCGCGCGCCGCCCCCAGGCTCGCACTCGCTGCGGTATTTCTACACCATCGCGTCCCGGCCCGGCCTCGGGGAGCCCCGGTTCATCTCCGTCGGCTACGTGGACGACACGCAGTTCGTGCGCTACGACAGCGACGCGGAGACTCCGAGGATGGAGCCGCGGGCGCCGTGGGTGGAGCAGGAGGGGCCGGAGTATTGGGAGAGGAACACACAGATCGCCAAGAACAACGAGCAGACTTTCCGAGGGAACCTGAAGACCCTGCTCGGCTACTACAACCAGAGCGAGGGCGGTGAGTGACCGCGGGCGGAGGTCACGACCCCTCCACGTCCCCACGCACGGGCCGGAGTCGCCCCGGGTCCCAGGTCGAGGTTCGGGAGGAGAGCGGGGAACGGACCCGGTTTCCCTTTCGGTTTAGAGTCCG